TTTCATATGGAAACTATTAGAAACGTGAAAAACTAAAAAGTTCGAGTGAGTGTTGCCTTAATGAAGCTGCGGATTCTGCCTCTGCTGCTACTGCTGCTGTCATTACTGAGCGACATTACTGCTCTGCCTACTTTGTACAGCTACAGCTACTGCAAAAGTTTGTTGAGCTTCGAGAGAAATCTCTCCCTCCCTCTTGAGGAAAGCTTGAAGAGGGAGAGAGGAGAAGAAGGGGACACGCTCAATGCCAAGTTCTTGCCATTGACATAGACACTGAGCTGGATAGAATGAGAATGAGAAGAAGAAAACGGTGACTTTCCGCTTGCACACTCGGCAATGAATCAATTGGCAGGCAGGCAGGGAGGCAAGGAGACACAATGTAAAGAAAGAGGGAGCAATGAATGAAAGAAGAGGAGCCAGAATTTAATTTCAGACAAGGGCAATGAATGGATGGGATGGGATGGGATGGGATGGGATGGGATGGGATGCTTTTGGTCTTCACCATCACCCACAGAGAAATCCAATCGGTGATGCTGTCAGTGGGCGGACAGCCGTGGGTCGAACTGTGCCTCGAAGCAGCCGACAAGCCTTTGCTTTCGGACAGGGCGAGGACATTAATTAACGGCGGCGGCAGAGGAGGAGGAAAATGAGACAATTGGCGAGGGGTAATTGAAGAGGAGGAAGAGGAAAGCAAATTGAAACCGCTACAACCACCACCACCACCAGCTTGATTGCAAAACAAGAAGAAAAAGAATCGCTCTGACCTTTTGTCCAGTTTTTCATTTTCATTCCTTCATTCAGCTTCAGTACTGCGGACAGTAAAGGTCACACCCTGTACAGCTAAACAAAAGAAGAAAGCAAAAGCAAAAGAAAAGAAAACAAAAGAGCCTCTGATCCAGAAAAGCGCGGAGGAGCAGGTGCAAGCGGTTCAATAAATCATCACCATCATCATCATTTCTCACTAATGAGCTGCTGCTGCACTGCGCTAATTAATTGGCACCACCACACTGAACTGAACTGAACTGGAGGGCACTTGAGCCCTGTGACGGATGTCCTTTCGGTACAGCAGCCAGTCACCGTACAATAATAACAAAGCCATACATCAACAGCAGCAGTATAACATAACAAGGGCAAGACAATAGAGCAGTGTGAGATAGAGAGAGAGAGAGCACAAATTGGGCGTCTGGTACAGGAACGCAAGAGAGGAAGGGTATTCTGCAATGCGAAGCCAATGCAGACAGCAGCCCTCTTCTTCGTTTGCCTACCGGCTGCCGTCTGCTACAATCGCCGTCGTCGTTACCAGACCAGAAAAAAGGAAGAAATAACGGTCACTGTGTGCGAGTGCGAGTTTGCAAGTCAGCATGAGAGCTGAAGCTGCTGAAGCTCTGCCGCAAAGGGCAAACGGCAGCGGCGGCGAGTATCAGAGTCTGTTGAGTAACTTGCAGCGTCTATGCAGGAAAGCAAGCACACGCACCACCGTTGCACGGGAAAACGTTGCAGAGGCAGAGAGGCAGAGAGAGTCTGACTGAACCCAAAGGATAAACAGTTGTTTTGAGGTGCTGCTTTAGCAGCAGAGGCAGCGGCAGCAACTTTTGGCAAAGGAAGAAAAAGAGAGTGGAGGTTGTTGTGGTTGTTGTTGTTTCTCCGGTGTGTTTTACTCATTGCCTTTCCTGACCTGCATCCCATTATCCACTATCCGCCTCCGTCTTCTACGTCTTCAGACTTCTGTGTTATCTTCGCCGGCTGTTGCCGGGTGCTCTTGTTTTGTTGGTGCTGTTTTGTTTTCATGTTTTACTCTTCAACGAACACGGCCACCAACAACACACCCTCCATTACCCTCACCCTCATCCGCATCATCATCACCACCACTACCGCCGCCGCCGCCGCCGTCATCAATGGTACTGAAGACGGGCCTGGAGATACCCACGATGATGATGACTGAAGCTGGCGAGCGAAATGTGCGCATTCTTCTCGTGGGTGAAAGTAAGTGCTGCTGCTTCTTTTTCGAAACGAGATTTCAGCTCTAAATCTTCCCTTTCTTCATTTCTGTAGGGGGCGTCGGCAAGACGTCCATGATCTACTCGCTCGTCTTTGAGGAGTTCTACGAGCAGGTGCCGCCAAAGTGCGAGGAGATCACCATTCCGCCGGAGGTGACGCCGGTGCACATCCCCACCGAGATCGTCGACTACTCGGGTAAGGTTTCTGGTGAAGAGGTTGTTGAGATATAGAAGTTCGTCACCCCCTAATTTCCAACTTTCAGCGCAAGAGCAAACGGAAAAGGAGTTGGTCGAGGAGGTGAAGAAGGCCAGTGTGATATGCATAGTCTACTCGGTTGACAATGAGGTCTCCATTGATAAGGTAATTGTCGAAGTTGTTGCTTTGGTTTTTCAGTTCTGTTAATCTGTTTATCTTTGATCAGATTTCTTCTTACTGGTTGCCATACATTCACCAGACGCTGGGCGAAGACCACGACACGCCGGTTATTCTGGGTACGATAGGAATCACCTCTTTTGATAATCACCACTAATTACACATCTTTTACATCTTCTCCTCAGTGGGAAACAAGTCAGACCTGGTGGAGTACACCTCCATCGACTCGGTGCTGCCACTGATGAACCAGTACAAGGAGATTGAGATTTGCGTCGAGGTAGGAGGTGGTGGTGGTGGTGGTGGTGGTGTTTGATGCTGTCAAGGTCAAAACTTCTCATTTCGAACTTCATTTTTTAACAAAAAACAGTGTTCAGCAAAAAAGCTCGACAACCTCTCGGAGATCTTCTACTACGCCCAGAAGACGGTCCTCTACCCGGTGACGCCCATCTACTACCCCGAGGAGAGAGATGTAAGTGCGGTGGAATGAATTTTCCTCAAATTCACCCCCAAAACTTCCTCTTCCCTAGCTCTCCGAGAGTTGCAAGGTGGCGCTGAAGCGCGTCTTCAAGCTCTGTGATCTGGACAACGACGGCGTGCTGAACGACTTTGAGCTTAACCAGTTTCAGACCTTCTGCTTCGGCTCCTTCCTCCTCAGTCAGACGCTGGACGAGGTGAAGTACATCCTCAAGAGCATCATCCCCGATGGGGTCTTCGACAACGGCATCACCCTCTCCGGCTTTCTCTTCCTCCTCACCTTCTTCATCCAACGGGGCCGCCACGAGCTGATCTGGATCGTCCTGCGCAAGTTTGGCTACAACAACTCGGTCGGCTTCACCGAGGAGTACCTCCACCCGGAGATCGCCGTCCCGCGAGGGTCGACGGTGGAGCTCAGCCCGAAGGGGTACTCCTTCTTCACCGCCCTCTTTGAGAAGTTCGACAAGGATGGGGATGGGGCGTTGTGTCCGGCGGAGCTCTCCGCCCTCTTCTCCATCTGCGACGCGCCGCCGAGGTGGGCGGCGGCGGACTACACCTCCGTGGTGGCCACCACTGAGAAGGGCTGGCTGACGCTGCAGGGATTTCTCTCCATTTGGGCGTAAGTGCGAGGGGGAGGAGGAGGAGTTTTGGAAGTTTCTCCTTTTTTTCTTGGGAAGATTCTTACTCTGTTTCTTCTTCTTCTTCTTTCTTCACTTCAGACTGACCACCTCCATCGAGCTGAAGGAGACGCTCAAGTACCTCGCACAGTTCGGCTACATGGCCACCTCGGGCGAGAAGAACCAGATATCGGCGCTCTATGGTGAGAAGACCGAGGCTATTCTTCCTAAAAGAAAAGATTCATCTAAACAAACTTTTGTTTTCAGTGACCAAGGACAAGCGCATCGACCTGAGCGAGAAGCAGACCTCGCGGAACGTCTTCTTCTGTCGGCTGATTGGCCCGCGCAACGCCGGCAAGAGCTCCTTCATGAGGCGGTTCATCGGCAAGACGGGCCCTATCAGCAACTCCAATCACAACCAGTCCTCCTCCAGTGATAGTATTTACAATAGCTACGTTATCAATAGTATTCCGGTGTACGGCCAGAAGAAGTACCTCATTGTAAGTGGTGGTGGTGGTGGTGGTGGTGGTCTTTTGATCTGTTACTTTTCTAAACTCCTTTTCTCTTTTGCAGATCAAAGAACTGGACATTCTCAATGTGAATATCCCGCTGATCGACCCGGAGCTCTTCTGCGACGTCTCCTGTCTGATGTTCGACCAGTCCGACCCGCGGTCATTTGAGTGCGTGGCACATATCTACACGGTAAGACGGGCCGCTTTTAGTTTTCAGATACTTTTTCTTGGGCAACATCTCACTCACAATTTCAATTTCCTCCTCATTTAGAACAACTTTCAGCGGACAAAGCTGCCCATCCTCTTCGTCGCCTCCAAGGGGGACCAGCCGGCGGTGCGCCAGTCCACCGAGCTGCAGCCGGAGGAGTTCTGCGCCGCGCACAAGCTGACGCCGCTGCACAAGTTCAGCTCGCTGGTGGGCGGCGGCGGCGGCGGTGGCGGTGGTGGTGGTTCCGGGCGCGAGCGCGAGACGAAGGAGAACATGGAGGTCTTCGAGAAGCTGGCCACCATGGCCGCCTACCCCAACCTCAACCGGCTGGTGCACCTGCTGCTGATGAAGCCGAGCAGCTCGTGGATGGCGCAGAATATGAAGTGAGTAGTGGCTTGGACTTTTGGGTTTCCATTTTCTAAAATCCCTTTNTGGTGCACCTGCTGCTGATGAAGCCGAGCAGCTCGTGGATGGCGCAGAATATGAAGTGAGTAGTGGCTTGGACTTTTTATTTGGAGTTTTCCATTTTCTAAAATCTCTCTTCTTTCTTTGCAGCCTTCTCCAGCGATGTCTTCCCCAGGACCGAGTGGCCTTCCTCCAGGCGGGCATCGGCTTCGCCTCCATGGCGCTGCTCGGCCTCTTCATCCTCCGCTTCCTCAAGAACAGCTCCTGAGCAGCATTGTCTCATTGGTTTCAAGGAGTGAAAAGTTCAGTGCTACTACTTCAGACCATTATTTTTGTCTTTGATTATCAGCTTAGGGAGGCTGGTGTTTAGGTTTCTACAACTCTCTTTTTCTCTTCTTCTTCTTTTCTACTTGTACCACCCTGGTGAATGAATTTGATGGATGCGCTCTAGAAGTACACGGTTTTTAAGTTATCAAACACACACAGAAAGCAGGAGAATCATAATAATAAAACGTGCCTACTATTTAGAATCTCCTCCTTTTTGGGGCTCTGTTCTTTTTTTTATATGGAAAAAAATAAAAAGTTTTGTTTTACACTAGATTTGGCTGTTTTGTTTTGCGTCACTCGACTTTAGCTGCCTCAGCTGCCGTCTTTTGTTGACCACCATCTTTTTCGGCAAACTTGCCCACCACCTTCTCCGCCAGCTCCATCAGCCGCCTGCAGGTCTCCGAGCCTCTGTCGCCCGCCTCGCGGTACTGCTCAATGAAGTTGAGGCCATGGTCGAGGCACTCGCCCAGCCGCGGCTCAATGGGAATGCTCGTGAGGAGGTCAATGTTGGCGTGGCGGGCCAGCTTCTCACCACCGCCCGAGGAGAAGATGTTGGTGCACTCCTGTGTGTGAGTTTGTTGTGATGATGCAATGACGCAATGATGAGTGTGTTTTGGTGTCAGCAGACTTTCAACAAAACAAGAGTATAAGTTTGATCACTTACCGAACAGTGCTCGCAGACGTAGCCGCTCATGTTCTCCACCAGGCCGACAATGTCAATGTTGCCCTTCCGGCAGAAGGTGATCTCCCGACGGACGTCTCCGATGGCGATGGCCTAAAACATAGTGGTTCGAAATTGATGGTTACTATCGTGATAAAAAAGAGCTCATCATCATCATCGTTTGTACCTGCGGCGTCGTCACCAGAATCGCCCCATCAGGGTTGCGGTGCTCCTGCAGGCCCTCCACCACGCTGATGTGCTCATCCGAGGTGCCCGGCGGCGTGTCCACCAGCAGGTAGTCCAGCTGGCCCCAGTTGACGTCGCCGAGGAACTGGCGGATCATGGCGTGTTTCTTCGGCCCTCGCCAGATGACCGCCGTGTCGGGACTCCGCAGCAGAAAGCCGATGGACATCACCGCCAGGTCGGGCCTGCCCGGTCGCTGGTACTTGACGGGAATCCACCTGGTAAGATACACAACAAAAACAGAAGATCAAAGTTGATCAAACCTTTCTGCACTTTTCAGCAGTCTTACCCATCCTGACCTTGCTCGACGCCCTCCGTCGTCAGGCCGAACATTCGCGGCACACTGGGGCCGCAAATGTCAATGTCGAGCAGGCCAACCTTGAGGAGGAGGCAAAGGCAACATCGCAGAGAAGAAGAACAGGTGGTTAAAATTAGCCTTCACGTCATAAAAACGGTACAGACGATAACAACAAGCACAAAACACTTACTTTATGGCCCAGCTCTTGAAGAGAGACGGCCAGCTCACATGACACCGTCGACTTGCCGACGCCGCCCTTGCCCGACAGAATCAGTATCACATGCTTGACGTGCTCGATGCCCATGCTGTCTGGTGTCTTGGATAGCAGTGGTAGTATTCTCTCTCTTTTCTGGTCAATGATCGCTGGAACGGCTGATCTGACACGATCACATGGAGACAGTGCGCTGCAGCAGCGGCGGCGCCAGTCTGTTTTGAAGAGTGCAAATAGAAACTGAGAGAGAGAGCGCCGTACTTCGCCGGTTGAAATGGAGGCAGCGTACGGCGGAGATGGCGCTTTAATTTTTTGGCTTTAACTTCATTCGAATTTCGAAAACAAATCGACAAAGCGATCTTTTCAGCCGTACAACGTCGTTGCTTCTCGCTAACTTTGGTAACTACCGGTGTACGACATACGCAGGTTTTCATTCGTATTCACGAGCGAACCGGTTCAGTTCACTCAGCGAACCAGGTGGCAATTTCCCCTCTTTCTTTCTGGTACTACTGTGGATGGCAATGACCCAGGACGGACAAAAAGAGAGGCCACAAAGTCCAAGGACTTTTGCACTATTACTAATCAAGCGAGCCACTGTGTTTGACGCCACAGTTGACAACAATCATCAAGCACAACAACCGTCATCGGATACATCTAATTAAGAGTTCTTTCATCCTCCGTCACCATCGCTCATTATTCCCTTTCTCTCTCTCTCTTCGCCGCCGCCGCCAGCCAGTCTGCATCCGCTGCTGTACGCTGCTGCCTTCTCACTGTGTAATAATCTCCTAACAACAACAACAACGGCTAACAACGACGAAGAAGAAGAAGTAGAAGTAAAGAAGAACAGAAGAGAAAGGCTGCGTCAAAGAAGTAATAGAACACACTGCTGACGAGAGATATTGAACTGCGCAAGACAATTCCCTCGCTCTCTCTCTATCTCACGACTGTGCTCTTTCGGGAAATCGGGATCACTTTGTGTTCTGTTCTCTCCAAGAGTATGAGTAAGTCTAACTACTGCAGCTGTTGGATCCTTCCCTTCCCTTTCCTCACCTTCGCCTCTGCTCCTCTCTTTCCTACTTCTTTCCACTTCGACGTTTTGTCGCAACGAACTCCTCGCTCTTTCTCTCTCTCCTCCTCCTCCTTCTTCCCGTGTTAGCTGCTGCTGCCTGCCTGCCCAGCAGCAATCGTCAGCCACAGCAAACTCGTCGTCGTCGTCGTCGTAGCCACCAGAGACAGCTGCTGCTGCTGCTGCTGCTGCTGAGCGAGTACAGCTATCTTTCTCATGCTCTCCTGTCTGCGTTCTACACTCACTCACTCACTCACTGGCAGACAAATGATTTGCCTCTCACCCTGAAGATCAACTTGCAGTTAGCAGGCAGTTAACTACTACTCTATCCATTCAGCCAGCCAGCCAGTCTCCAGTTGACTGTGAACTTCCTCTTTTTCCAAGTTTTCTCCAGTACCAACTAGCTGACTACGACGACAAACACACACACACACACACACTGCGACTACGACGACCACCGCCTCGCTCTCTCCTACGCTCTTTCTCTTTCTCTCTCTCTCTCNTCTCTCTCTCTCTCTCTCTCTCTCTCTCTCTCTCTCTCTCTCTTCCTATCACTCAACCAGAAATCTGCTGCCTCTGCTGCCTAACTTTATTATTGGTTGGGTTACAACAAGTCACAGTCATCATTACCAACACCAACACCAACGCCACCACCGCCGCCGTCATCATCGTCATCGCCATCAGCACCAGCAACAACAGCAACAACAGCAAAACAGCAAACTCAGAGCTGCAGACAGACCCCGACACGATCTGTGAAGATATTATCTCTGACGGCTCACCAGCAGCAGCTCCTCAGCTCCTCGATCTGAGCTTTTGTGTACGGTGAAGCTCGACCTCTCTCTCTCTCTCACTACTAAACACACAGACTATTCTCTCGATGCGCAGCTTACTTGCCGCTGCCGCTGCTGCTGCTACGTTCTTTTCTGCGTNTCTCTCGATGCGCAGCTTACTTGCCGCTGCCGCTGCTGCTGCTACGTTCTTTGCTGTTGGTGGTGGTGCTCCTTGACTCCTGTCTGTTGTTGGCTGGCTCCTAATTGCCTCCTCCTCCTCCTCCCCTCTTACAACCTCCTTCTTCCTCCTCTTCTAACAATCAGACAGACCACCGTTTTCTCTGGCCACAATCTACAATCTACCACAATCCACAACAACAAAACACTGATCTTGAGAAGGACGCTCCGTTGACGTCCACCACTTCTCTTTGTACTGAGTGCTTTTATAATATAACACATTTATCTTCTTCTGTGGTAAGTTTTTGCACTTTGTAACAGAGCATTTGCATTTGCTCTGTTGATTGTTCATTTTTTTAGAACTCAGCTTACCTGTTTTTCTTTCTTTTTCTCTTTTTTAGCACTTACACTTCTTATTTTAATTGAGATTCTTTGTGTTCTTTCTCCTTGATCGTCTCATCATCCTCTTCACCTCTTCTCCTCCTCCTCACCTTTACAAATAAACCAGTAAGCAATCATCAGCAAAATGATCAACGTACAGGAGATTCGCCGTAATGTGATCAACGTGGTGAAGAACTACTCGGACGCGCAGGTGAAGGTCCGCAAGGCGACCTCAAACGAGCCCTGGGGGCCGAGCAGCACGCTGATGAGCGAGATCGCCGACCTCACCTACAACGTGGTCGCCTTCAGCGAGATCATGCAGATCGTCTGGAAGCGCCTGAACGACCACGGCAAGAACTGGCGCCACGTCTACAAGGCGCTGGTCCTCCTCGAGTACCTGATCAAGACCGGGTCGGAGAAGGTCGCCCAGCAGTGCCGCGACAACCTCTTCGCCATTCAGACGCTGAAGGACTTTCAGTACTTTGAGGACAACAAGGACCAGGGGCTGAGCATTCGGGAGAAGTCGAAGCTGCTGGTCGCCCTGCTGAAGGACGAGGAGAAGCTGAAGACGGAGCGGATTAGGGCGCTGAAGGCGAAGGAGCGCTTCGCTCAGTCGCAGTCGGCCATCGGCGGCGGCGGCGGCAGCCTGGAGCTGGGCGGCGGCGGCGGCGGACCCGAGGGCGGCGGCGGCCTGCCCCGCACCTCGGCCAGCTACCACGAGTCGCTGTCCTCTCCAGGCAGTGGAGGCGGGGCAGCTGGGGCTGGTGCGGACGCGGCGGCCCGCGCCAACCTCAACCCCGAGCTGGAGAGCGCCCGACCGCAGACGGCGGGCGAGGAGGAGCTGCAGCTGCAGCTGGCGCTGGCGATGAGCAAGGAGGAGGCGGAACAGGAGGAGCGGCTGCGGAAGAACGACGACCTGCGGCTGAAGCTGGCGCTGGAGGAGAGCGAGAAGGGCAAGGCGCTGGCCGCGGCGGCTGAGCTGCAGCAGGCCTCCCAGCAGCAGCAGGCGCCTCGCTCCGCCGTCGACGATCTACTTAGTCTGGTGCCCACGAGTGAGCCCTCGGCAGCGGCCGCCTGCGACCCCTGGGGCTCGCCGCTGAACGCCGGCGCCCACAACCACCACAATGGCCTTGCGCTGGTCTCCTCAACCTCCTCTTCTGCATTTCTGCCCTCTCCGCCCAACAACAGCCGATCAGCAGCAGCAGCAGCAGGTTTGCACCAGCCTCAGCAGCGCCAGCTGGTCGATCCCTGGGGAGCACCAGTTCCGACGACCACCACCTCAGCTTCCTTTGAAGCCTCCTCCTCCTCTGCCTTTGATGATCCCTGGGCTGGTGGTGGTGGTGGTAATCGACCCAACTCTAGCTCGGCCCTTAACGATCCCTGGGGCGCAAGAGCAGGTGCTCAAAGTAGCACCTCGCCCGCCACCGCCGCTGCTAATGATCCGTGGAATTTGAATAATGGCGATGAGAAGACGACCGACTTTCTTGGAGGTATGTTTTGAGTTTTTTCAATTTTTTATTTTAACCCCCTCTTTTCACCCTTTTTAGATCTAATGGAGCCGTCCTCTAGAGCACTGCCGCCTGGCATGGGCGGCCACGGCGGTGGCGACGCCGCCTCTCGGCGAACGCCCGAGAGCTTCCTCGGACCGAACTCTAATCTGGTGAACCTGGACGCACTAGTGAGCAAGACGCAGACTTGTAAGTACTTTTTTCACACTTTTTCTCTTGCCAGCGATTGCACTTCTTTTCCTCACTTTTACTAATGACGACATCATTACATTTTTTTCTATTCCTTTCTAGCCACCTCACCGAACAGCAGCAATCCCTTTGCAGCGGCGCTGCCGCCGCCGAGCAATCCCTTCAACCTGGGCAAGCCTTCGCCGCCGTCGATGAATCAGCTCCGAGCGGCGCAGTCCTCCAGCTCAGTCATCATTGGAAATGGTCAGCAGCAGCAGCAGGCACTGCCGCCGATGCTGCCCACCGCCTCCTCGAGCTACTCGAATGCCAATGCGCTGAGCTCACTCTTCAGCAGTTCTCCGGCACAGCCGCCGTCCTCGACGAGTCCGCTGACGGTGATGGGCCTCGGTCAGCAGCAGCAGCAGCAGCACCCGACGACGCTGGGGCCCTGGGGCCAGCCGGTGCAGGCAACCACCACCACCACAACCTCTCCGTCTGCAAACAATCCCTTTGCTATGTGATTTCGCATTTACCCTCTCCTCCTTCTCCTTTCCCTCCCCACTACCGTTACCGTTTACATCTACACTTTCTCTTTCCTCTTCTTCTTCTTGTACGGCTTGACCTTGCTCCTTCCTCTCTCTCTCCCTTCCTTCCTTTCCTCTTCTACTTTTCTTTTACTCTTCAAGGCAAGCTTGTGCACACTCACACTTTCTTTCTCCTTCCTATTATATTGATCACTTCCTTCTTTTTCTCTCTCTTTCTCTTCTACACACTAATCACAATCCTTTGACTATTTTGTACATATTTGTATGCTCGCTGATGATGGTACTCCCTCTCTTCCTCTTCCTCCTCCACCTCTTCGATTCTCGTTCTTTGATGATTTTTTCTGGTGACTTTGAGAATTAGAGGGAGATGAAGAGAGGATTGGAGATCATCATCATCAACCTGACTCCGGTGACCAACACACACACGCCCACACACCATAGTTTTGCCCAAATTAGCCTCCAACCACACAGCCACGCCCACTCTTCAGCAACAGCAAACAATCTTGGCATTTATCTCTCTCTTTCTCTTTTACTACTTCTATTTATTACCTGATTAGCCACACAATCAATCAATCAATTTCACACCCAACCACCATCCACACACACACATTTGTATACCCACAACGCTCTCTTTGTATTTCCTAATTTGATGAATTTGATCACGAATTACAAATTCTTTATATATTCTCACTTCTCCACCCTTCTTCTTCATCATCTTCCTCTTCTACTTTTAATTTTTATTAAAACGATTTATGGAGATTCAAGAACTGTTGTGTGTGTGTGTTTTGCCTTTCCAACTTGGAAGAGGACTTTTTTTTACGGTAAACTGCTTATTCGGTAAACAACTCCTGTGAAGTTGTGTGTTTGGGTTTTGGTGAGGGTCGAAAGGGAAAGACTAAAACAAGCGGGAGTTTTTGCAAAATGAAAATGGAGGGGCCGTGTTTATTAAACTGTTTTTGATCGGCAACGACGTCACTTTTGTGTGTGTTATAAATAGGTGAATACAGGGGCGACAGAAAAAAAGAGAAGGTGTGGTGTGGGTGTGTGTGTGTCTTTGAGGAGAAGACAAAGAAAAAGAAGAAGGTAGTGTGTGTGTGTGGCAACAGAGAGAAGGTCATCGTCGTCGACTCATCATCATCATCATCTAAAAAGAATAGGAAAAAAAATCATCAGAGTAAGAGACCGTAAAATCAGCCATGTAAGGGGTACAGTTGTTGTTGTAGTAGTAGAAGAGAAAGAAGTTGAAGCGAAAATATAAGGGGCTGCGTCTACAGTCAAAGTGAGTGAGGGGTGTGGTGGTGGTGGCGGTGGCCATTGGTGGCAATGCTGCTGCTGCTGCTGGGCGTGAAGATGTGCTCAAATGAAAAATCAGTGTGTGTGTGTGTGTCTTGTAAAAACTGTGTTGATGATGGGCGTAAGGTGTAGGGGGATAGGAGGAAAGCCTGTATACTGTCCCAGTAGAGAGTTGCAGTCAACTCTCAGTTATCACTCATCATCACTGCCCCTCAGTTGTGAATCTTGATGGCCTTCTCGTAGTGAGTGTAGCGAGAGCGCTTCGGCGTCTTGTTCACGTGATCCAGGCCTAGCCACAGCTTGGGCGCGTTGTTGTAGGCGGTTGAATCTGGAGCAGAAAGAAAGTGTAAAAGTTGTTGGTAAAAATCACTTCAAAACCACAAACGCGACTTACAGTTGATGGCGTGATCCTCCTTCTTGAAGATCTGATTCACCTCGTCGGTGATGTAGTTGACTCGCTGCGAGATGATGGCAAACTTGTACTGGAGAAAAGAAAAGAGCAAGTTAGAACGAGTCAAACTTGTACAGCAAAAACAAGCGAAAATACCTTTTCAAACTCCTTATCAGAGACGTCCAGCTTCTTTTGAATTCGCTCCTTGACAGTGACGAATGACTCGTTCTAGAGGAAAGAAACAAGTACCATAAATCTCAGCACAATACAACTCAAAAGCCAGTCCACACTTACATTCTTCACCTTGAGTAGAAATGGCACGCCATAGGTCTGGTAGGACTCCTTTTGAAAGTGGGCCACCGGGAGGAGGAACTCATTCGGCTCCAGCTTCACCTGGTCGTTGGGAATCTCCTCCACGCGGTAGCTCTTGGTGCCCGCCGGGTTCAGACACTCGAGGATGATGTCATTGGGGATGATGTGGTTGATCTTGCAGCTGACAATCTCCAGCAGTCGCAGGTGGCCGCCGGCCGTCTCCGACTTGATCTTCTTCGCCGCCTCGAGCAGCAGGTCGGTGACGGTGCCGGACTTGTTGGGGAAGAGCTCCATCTCCTAAAAAGGTGCAAAAGGGATTAAAAAGAGATTGAAACTCACTCACAATTTCTCTCCCGCTTACCTCCTCCTTCAGCTTGGTGTTGACGTATGTACACTTGAAGGGTCTCTTGTTCTCCAGCTCGTGGATGCTAATGTTGAGCTAGGAGATAAAATAGAAAAGTTAGAACCAAGGTTAACACTCAAAGAGCACTCCCACTTACATGCTGAAAGAAGATCTTCTTCGGCTGGCGGGGCTTAAAGTACAGCAGAATGTCCTTGAGGGTGCCCTCGTAGCTGCAGCGCAGCGCCCCGCCCGGCCCCTCGCGGTAGCTGCTCTGGTTCTTGAAGAACTGCAACTTCATGGGGTCGGTGCCGAGGCGCATGGCCACCGCCGCGGCGATCTGATTGTAGGTCATCTTCATCGACAGCTCCAGGAGGAAGCCCGGGTCGTTGGGGACGTTCTTATCACAGAAGAGCACCTCCACGCGGTGCAGCAGGTCCTGGAAGTACTCGAGCAGGCCGGAGGGGCCGTCCTGCGGCGGAATGACGTCGTTCCGCTCAAAGGCGATGATGTCGCCGTCCATCAGCTCATTGACGGCGTCCTCCAGCGCCAGCTCGAAGTTGATCATCGGGTGGATGCAGCTGTGGTACTCCTCCTCGTAGATCTTCAGCGGCGTGCCCACCGCCAGGCCCGCCTTCGCCCACATCAGCTCGAGGAGGTCGACCAGTTTGGTGCGGCGCTCGACGTGCGCCAGGCCGCAGTACGTGAGAAAGGAGTTCTTAATGTCGTAATACTTGAAGAAGATGAGCACGTGCACTGGAGGGGAGGGGGAGATAAGGATAAGTTGATAAGGGGTTAAAAATGAATAAAAAATCAACATCACTCACCATCCTTCTCCGAGACGGGCAGCGGCGGCACGGGCACCGTCGGCGGCGCCATCTCCACAAAGACCGCCCCGCCGGTGGCGCTGTCCAGAAAGCTGCCCGCCGTCTCCGTCTCGTGGACGCGCGTCGGCCGGAAGGAGTGGTTGTTCCGCGCCAGAAAGGGCCACAGGCGAATGCTGGCCGCCGGGTAGTGCAGCTGCTCGGCGACGGCGGCCACCGTCTCGCGGTAGCTGCCCGACCGCGCCACCTTGAAGGTGAAGCAGGGCGAGCGGTCGACGCTGACCAGGTCCGCGCCCTTGTACGTCATGATGGCCTCCTCGGTGTAGGCGTTCGCCGTCACGTAGAGGTGCTGCTCGTTGCGCTCCTTCCGGCGCAGCACCTCCTGCCGCTTCTCCTCCAGCAGCCGCAAGACCAGGTGCTCCTTGATGTCGTCCTTCGTCACCGGCACGAGGACGTCGGCTAAAGAGGAGAGGAGGGTAAGGGAGGGAAAGGTTAGCACAAACAAACAAACAGGTACAAAAAACGTAAACGACACTCACCGAGCGCACTGTTGCGAATGTACACCAACATGTAGGCGTTGGTGGACTGCTTCACCGGCGTCGTGTCCTCCGGCGGCAGCTCCCCGCCGCCGCCGTAGTTGTTGTTGATGGCGTCCTCCTTCTGGCAGCAGCTGACGACGTCGTCGTCGAACTTGCACCACTTGCCGTCCCCTTTCGGGTTGATGAAGACCACGTAGTGGCCGCCGTGGTTGTCGCCGCTGTGCACCAGCACGGCGTGCAGCGTGTAGTCGGCCGGCGTCGGCTCCGGCTTCGAGAGAAACTTGTCCAGGTTGAGCTTCTCGGGAAACTCGTAGCTGTGAGGGGGGAAGAGATGGTTTTAGGTTGTTAAAAAACAATTTCCCATATCTCAATTACCGGTCGTTGATCTTCACGTTGGCATCGGTGGCCGGGTCGTACTGGAAGCGCAGGAGGTGCAGGTGCAGCACCGGCGGAAAGGACTCAAAGGTGATGCCCTTCTCCGCCTCCTGCAGGCCGTGGTCGCCGGCGTCGTACTTGTTCTCGCCGTCCAGCAGCTCGGTGCTGATGTACTCCACGAAGGACTCGTAGATGTCCTTCTTGTCCTTCACGTTCAGCTGAATGTCGTAGAAGGGCTCGGTGCGGGAGGAGCTGAAGTCGACGTGCTTGCAGCGGATGAAGGACTGAAAAGAGGGCAGGGAAAAATGGTTAGTTAGTCATAAAGTCTCAAGTCCATCCACGCCACACATTTTACTCACAATCATCTTCCCCTCAAACAGATTGGGAATGGTGCCCTCCACAATGGTGCCCTTCATCTTGCTCTCCATGTTGTCCAGCAGCACCCGACAGAGCTCCTGCACGTCGTGCTGCATGAAGGAGTCCAGCGTCTCCCAGCCAAAGGACTTGGTCAGCTTCTTCGTGCCCACCGGCTTGTCGTTGAACTGCAGGTCGTAGAAGACGCGCTGCAGGGCGAGGGCGACGCTCTTCGTGCTGTCGTCGCTCTCCGTCGGCATCTGGTAGACCGCCTTGCGCAGCTTGTTGGTGAAGTAGAGCGTCTGCAGGAGGGAGTTCATGTAGCAGGTGGCGCCCTGGTTCTTCAGCCCCACGAAGCCGGTGTGCTTCTTCGAGTCCCAGCTGACGCCGTGCGGCGCGTCCGCCGTCACCGTCGCCTCGAGGATGAGCGTGTCGTCCTTCAGGTAGCCCTTGGCCGGGTCGGTCAGTTCCTGGTGGAAAGTAGTAGAGAAGAGAAGAGAAGAGAAATAGAACACGAGTTAGAGATGACGCAACTTCGAAACAGGCAATCCACAAAACTTACCGCCCAGCTGGTGAAGTAGCTGAAGCCCCAGTCGTTCTCTTTGCTGTAGAAGATGTGCGAGATGCCTAGGAATTTGGATGAATTAGATAGGACCAAAACAAAAGCGTGACAAAAAAAAGGACATACGTCGTGAAATGTGCTCGCAGCCTTCCTTCTGGGCGAGAATACGCAAATCAGCGGAAGCATTGCACGACCAGCTCCTGTCGTCATCGTCGTCAAGATGTAGGCAAATCGAAGTGGTAAATCAAAACAAGTCGAAAGAGATAAAAGGGAGAAAACTCTTACGTGGACTCTGACTCTCCGTTGCACTGAAGAAAGTAGCCCAAACTCTTCAAGCCGTGTTGGTTGGTGACGGTGCCACCCACTCGTGGCATTGCCATGATCTTCCTGTAAAGAGAATGTCAAAATAAGCGTCAGTTGTGTCTTGTCATTTGAAAGAGAAGAGAGAAAACATCCCCTTCATCCCAAACTGTCTTACCATGGCAAGTTTCTGACGTAGGTCGGCGGACTGAGAACCGACTCCTTCAGCTTGGAGAAGTTGGTGATCACGTAGCGGAACGTCGCCTGCGATCGTGACTCATCTGCGAGATGATCAATGGAATGGCAATGTGTTAGTGTCAATGTTACCAGTTTAGATTAACAAAAACCATCTCTCTCTTACCGTCTTCCATGTTCTCGTCGCCGCCGCTAAGCACATCGCCGTCGCCGTTCGTCGTCTCGGCGGTATTGTTCTGCTGCTGCTGCTGCGGACTGGCAGAGTCCATGGCTGAAGAAGAAGAAGAAGAAGAAGGGGGGAAAATGTGAGAGAGAATGACGATGATAATGGTGATGGCAATGGCAATGGCAAAGGTGTGTTGAGAAGATTACACAACACAACAAACAAACAGGAGGGGGCAGCCCACCACTACTCTAGTTCTCAACTTACGGAGATCGTCGTTGTCGTTTGCAATGTCCATCTGTTCCTCGTTGTCGTTGTCGGGCTTCATTCGTGGTGGTAAATTGCGTCAGTGTGTCTGCTGTCTCAGTCCGGTGTATGTGTTCCGAGAAGGGTCGGATGATGCAAACCTTCTGCTGATCAACCGAGATCTACTGTGGTAGTGTCCGCTTCAGAACTTTGTGTTGATCAGAAGAAGAGCTGTTCACCAAATGAGAGAGAGTGAAAGAGAACGATGCTGTCATGCAGCAGCAGCACCAGCAGCAGCAGCAGGAGGGAACAAGACAACAACCGGGCTAGAGGGCGCAGGCGGCGACGGTGGCTTCAGCCGCTGGGCGGAGCCTCCTGCAGCGGTGGTGCAATCAGCAGAAAGCCTGACTGCAGGCGTAAGCGCCGCCCTGTCGTTGAAGCCAGCGCTGCCGCCNGCCGCCCTGTCGCTGAAGCCAGCACTGCCGCCTGCGCCCTCTAGAGTGGGAGAGTGAACAGCAGAAGCAGCGTTTGAATGAGCAGCACAGCAGAAGCAGAAGCAGAAGCAGCAGAAGCAAAAAATGCTGCTGCTTCAAGACAAAAAGAGAGGTCCGAGTGAGTGGAAACGGCGTCCGATCAGAGAGTGGTGTGAAAATAGGCGCCGTTAAAAGCCGGCTATTAGGGCGCCACCTGGCGGTGTAGTAGAAAAAAAGAAGTTTTCGAGTTTTCGAAATCAAATGATTTTTGTTTATTTTGGAACGGCCAGAAGATTGTGACAACCAAAATACAGACAGTATGAATGAATGAAGGTAATAAATAGGCGAGATGAGGTGCTGAAAAAGGAAAAAAGAAAAAAAAAGTTTGGCTTTAGGCTTTCTTTCGCTGATCTGTAGGCGTAGCTTTTGAATACGTTTTCGAGCCGCCGCCCGACTTTGCCACTCCATCACCGGCCAACGCCCTCACATGGCAGACACAGCAGCTGGGAAAGAGAAACTCAGAGAGGAAGGGCCCTCGATGGGGAACCGCCGGATCGACCACCAGCAGCTTCTGGGTGTTGTAGCGTTGGGTGCAGGTGGCCTGGTAGCA